CTCAAGTCCAAGTGACCCCCAAGGACAGATTCGCAGAGGACTTGACAGTGTGTATTAGTTACTGTTCTGTTGCTGTGATAAGACACCATAACCAAGGCAACATACAGGAAGGAGAATTTACTTGGGGCTTAAGATTCCAGAGGGAGAGGAGCCGTCACCATCACGGTGGGAAAACATGGCAGCAGGCAGGCCTTGGCCATGTGTCTCTTGACATCAGTAGAACAATAACCAGGACACTCTTGGTTCATAACGAACACTCGATTAACTTGTCTATCAAGACATACTTTATGCTGATATTCAACTGTGCTGGGAATTAAAGGTTCAATTCACAACAACTCCTGAGTATTCCTCCCTTAGGATCCCCCCACCCTCCCTCAAGAGGTTTCACTTTTCTGTAGGAAATCTGTCCAAGCAAAGCAGAATGACGGGTTGGTGATGAGGTTGGTTCAGGCAGCTGGGGATAGTAAGGGTCTCTCGTGGGAGGAGCTGCTGCAGAGGAAGTGCTGGGTGACAGAGGCGAAGGGGAGTCAGAGCTGCACTGGTTGTTCAAGGGAAATGTCTAAAGACTTTATAGGGAAAGAAGGCATGATGCGTGAGATTGTTAGTTTCATGGGAAAAACCATGTGTTAGGTGATACAGCACAGCATAGACCGAGGACCATACAAAACAGAACATAGCCCTGGGGAGATGCTTGGAGGGTAAGGTGTTTGCCAGTGTGTGAGGACCCATGTTCTAATCTCCAGAACCCATGGGAAAACTGGAGGGGGGGGCTGGCCTGCGTGTGAGCCCAGCATGTGGGAAATGAAGACAGAATCCTGGAGTGAGCTGGCTTGTCATCCTCGCTGCAAGAGAGCCTGTCTCCATATATAGGGTGAAGAGTGAACAGGGAAGAGACCCAGGGTCAGTCTGGACCTTACATGTATGTACACACACGTGCTTAAACATACACACATATACACACCACACTCATGTGCTTGAACATGCACACTACACACATATATATACACACACACACCACACGTATGCTTGATATGCACACATACACACACCACATGTGCACACGTGCCCAAAAAAGTCTACAACATTGACTGACATGCCCATCCCTCGGGTTTCCTGTGGCAATCCTTAGGTTTCGATGGCCGTAAAGGGGGAGATGTTTGACATCTCGGGCATCATGTTGGGATCACTGGCACCGACTAGTCACTACGACATCCTGGGGTCTACTTCAGCCTTCTGCATGCAGAAAGTGGCAGTGGCTGAGGCTCGACCCCTCCTCCTCCACGACAGTGCTCTGAGGACAGGCTCAGCATTTTATTTCTTGGGGCTTCAAGAGCTCATTTAGGAACAGCACAGTGACAACAAGCAACAGTCGCGAGATGCTACTCAGTAGATCTCACTAGTCTCAATGTGGCCTTGGAGAGTGGGGGCCAAGCGAACAGAGTGAGGACAGGCTCCTCAAGGGAGGGCTCAGAACATAGAGGAGGGGATTTGGGGCGAGCCTTCAGATCCAGATGTCAGAACTGCAGTCACCTCCTGGGTACCGAAGCTCATGAGCCAGTGCTGGACCAAGGGGCTCCATCCCGAAGTCCACCAGAAAGTTGGGGTTCAACTTGAGCCCTCCATTTACAGTGTCTACATCAATTTGCAGCATCACGGAGCCTTCCCTGGAAGACGAAGAAAGGGTGAGAGGTGATATGTGACCAGCACCCCCACCCCAAGATTTGGTGAGGATAAATGGGTTCCTGGGATGGGCAGGGCCCACATGGGCCGTCTGTCTGGTAGGGCACAGGTGGAGTTCCTGAGTTGTCTTCAGAGCCCACGCGATCCTTCTGGAGGCCTGGTGGAGAGGTGATCCTGGACACTGCTGCTCACCTGATGAGGTCGGGGTAAAACTGCTTGTCCCAGGCGCTGTACAGCGACGAGGTGACATAAAGACGCTTCCCATCCAAGCTGAGCTGGATCATCTGAGGGCCTCCAGGAATGCGTTTTCCCTTGGGGAGACAAGAGGTCAGACTCCAAGTGACACACAGATGGGTCCCAGAGCATCCCCCCAGATTCTCCTTGAGCATGGGTCTGAGGGGCCAGTGAGGCCAGGGCGATGTTCTCACCTTGACCACTAGGGGCTCCGGCTGACACTTTAACTCTTGGTCCTCCAGCACCTCCACAGGGCCTCCTTTAACAATGCTGCCCCCAAGGAAGATCTGGGTTCAGGGGTGCAGAGGACAAAGGGGGGCAACAGTGAGAGATACAGTGACGATTAATGTCCATTATCAACCTCA